AAAATCCAAGGAAATGAAGAGAATCACGACAAAATTAACTTTTCTCCATATTAATTGTATAAGATTAGCATTTTTCAATCTATTAAACATTTTTTTCAAAGTGTCAATATAAAGTTCAAAAGTAGGAGTTGCTACAATAATATCATCCAAATAACAGAAACAGTAAGGAAGAATAGAGGGATCTATGACTATCTCCATTAAACGGGCCATTGTACGAGGACCATTCTTTAAGCCAAATAACATTCTTGTGAATTCAAATGATCCACCACCAAAAACTGATTAAGCAGTTTTAAGTTTGGAGGTATCAGTTAGGGAAATCTGTAGAAGATCAATGGAAGTAATAAATTTTGCATCCCTAAGTTTACTCAATATTGAGTCCACTAAATAACTATCAGAAACAGTGTTTTGATTCAATCGTCTACTATCTAAACATAATCTTATTCATTTTCCAAAGTGGACTGAACCAAGGAGAAACAGACCATCATGGCAGGTGAAAGTGGGTACTGTCTAGAAAAAATTGGTTTTGTATCCCCAGTATCAATATCATGTTTAATTAAATGTGTACATCCTAGAGAATCTTTTGAAGCTATAGTAGAAAAAAGATCTACCACTCCATTAAGTTCAGATTTTTGTTCAAAAGACAGATTTAACATTGTATAGAATTCATAGCACTTAAAGATGATAATAAACAATATGAAAACTCACCATATCTAATATCAATATTAAATAAATTTAAAAAGTCTATTCCCAAAATTAAATTATGTTTTACTGTAGTTTTTGTAATATTATCAACATTGACAGGTACATTTATAAAACCTAATAAATTTTGTGAAACCCCATCAGCAGTAGTTACACTTAAGTCATCATCATATAAGATAGGTGTATTTATTTTAAGGATAATATTAAAAGCTTGTTGACCTAAAATTGTTGAATTAGAACCTGTATCTACTAAAGCTAATATTTCAATATTGTTTATTTTAACCTTTAAATGTGGCCTATTATCATTTAGTTTCTTAAAAAATAATGGACTTGAGTTATTGTTTAGAGACACACCCTGTATTAGAGATGGTGAGGTACTGTCATTAATTAAAACACTATCATTTTTAAAGTTATAAGAAATTTTCTTAGGTATGGCACTTGAATTTTTTACAAAAGTTAGGTATTGTTTCCATTCCGCTATGTAAGTTAATTTTGTTTCTTGTTTCCTAAACCTTGTGAATTGTTTTTTTGAGATGGTCCTGACAAATTTTGAACATTTGTAAGGCTGCGGCCCGTAGCCAGACCTTGAGGTAGTCCGTTTTTTGAACAATTCACTACTGTTTTATTTTTGTAGCCACAGCGATAACAAATATATAATATATTCCGTTTAGAAAAACATGTTGAATAAGTATGTCCAACTTTACCACAGTTATAACAAGAAACATTTGATAATCTACTTTTATTTAATTGACTATTGTTACTACGGTACTGGTTAGTATTAGTTGAAAAATTATCACTACCAAAAGCAGCAGTATTATTTACATCGGAATATGTAAAATTTTGAGATAAACTTTGAGCATCTTCTAGCTTCTTACATAACATAGATAATTCATCAATAGTCTTAGGGTCTTGCAATGCTAACTGAGAAATAAAGGTAGGTAAAAGATTTATTTTAATAATATTTACTTCTTCTACATTCATCTGGCAAGATAGTTAATCTTTTAAAAAGTTTTTCCATATAAGAAATGTATAATGTCGTACTTTCAGAATTAAGTTGTTTTCTATTTTGAATCTCTAATTATAAATTATATTGATAGTCACAAGGTAAGAAATGTAATTTTAATTGTTCTACAAGGTGATCCCAGTCAGTGAATTTAGAACAATTATTATTCATATACCAAAATAGAGCATCACCTTTTAAAAGGTCACAGCTACGTTGAAACACTTGTTGTTTCGAAAGACCTCTAGACAATCTTAACATTTCAACATGTTTCAAAAAATCAAACAACGAATTGTTACCATCATGAAAAACACCCCATTCATGAACTTCTACACTTGTATATGAAGGATAACTAACTTGTTCTGTAGATACAGTATTAGAGTTAAAACTAGAAGAATTATTATTAATTTTTTCTGATAAATCAGCTTCTAACATGATTATTTTTGTTTTTATTGTGTTTTGAGCTGTAGCTTCTTCATCAGAGTCTACTTTTAAATTAGCTACCCTATTAGACAAGTGAACTAATCTAGAATTAATTCGTTTAAAAGCTGGATCAGATTTATTGCCAGTAAAATTTTCAATTTCTGTATTAACTTCTTTAATTGACAATTCCATTTCTGTGATATCCTCTTCATGATTATAAGGATTATTTTTCTGTGAAAAACTTCTATTGTGTGACTCTTGAGATAACAAACCACTCAAAACTTTTCTTTTTTGTTCTACAGTAGAAGGCAAGTCTACCCCTCTGATTAAAATTTCATAGGTTAACTCATGAGTTTTTAAATGTTTGGAAATCATTTTAATAAAGAGAATATCAGTCAGAAAAAAAAATGTAAAAAGCAATATTATTAACTAAATGAAGGCACAAATTTTACCACTCAAGAAAAAAATTTTTTACTCGATAGGCACAAAAATCAACTTTAGGTAAAAATCATATACTATACACTTTTATCAGTGTAGAATGAATATTCAGATATATCACTAACAAAATATCTATAAATAAACACTGAACCTAGTACAAAATGCAGATATTATATAAAACTTAACGATACGATATACAGATTTATAGATTTTATAGATTTATAAATTTTAATGTTGAAATACATGGTCATACATACTTTATGAAACAAAATTTGATTTTTCTCGAAAACGGTCGACTTTAGAGCGTATGACCAAGAGTACCTTTTTTGTGTAGAAAACATTGGCGGTTCAAATGGGCGTCTAAAAACCGTACTTTTTCCAGTGGCGTAGAACTTTTTTTTTAATTTCAACACCCTGTATCTCGAAAATGATGCCTTTTAGAGGGTAAGTTAATAGAAACGTTTTTTCATATTTTTGGACGAGCTATCACGTCCTGAAGTCCTGCGCATATATTATGAAAAACCCTGTATATGTACTACAAATTAATATTTCGTTTAAAAAGGATGGTTGGTTGTCTCTGGTGGGTAGAAATATTCTTTTCTTAAACTTTATTAATTTGGAAACGAAGATGCGACAGGTCGAAAGGGGATATGACGACGTTTTAGTTAAATTATTCCAAAGTTTAATTGAATTTCAGAAATACGTTTATTAAATTACATATCTTATGAAATATGAATACTTTAATTTAGTATAAACAAAATGGATAAATAATGAGACGTTTTGAGACATAGATAGCAAGTGGAGTAATATACAGATATTTTTTATTAATAAATACAACAACCCAAGTAAAATATTTATTATTAAAATCTGATCAATGACACCAACCAGGGCCGACTAGAGGGGGAGGGGGGCAGGCGGGAGTAATTCCCGGGGCCCGGACTCAAATGGGGCCCGGCAACCGTGGCGAGGATTTTTGTTTAATTTTAGAAAATTCAATTTAAGTAGAGGAGTAAAATTTTTTTTTAGAGAAATTTAAGTAAAGAGGAGAGCATATTTTTTATAAAATTGTCACGGGGCCCGATCTAGAGAAAGGTCCTGGGGCCCGGCCTGGCTCTCGGTGGCCCTGACACCAACAAGCAATTTTATTCTACAAGGAAAGAAATCTAGAAGTCATTTACCTCATTCATCTCAGGTGGGGTACAAAGTAAGGTTACAAGCAAGTTAATCTTAGTTTTTGCCATTATGGCTTGACACTCTATATAATTTCTTTCTATTGCCAATAATGGTCAACCTACTATCTTAACTCGTCCCAAACAAAATATTTCAATGGTTGATATTACTTTATGTTCCCCGGAAATAGCCAACAAAAATTAATAGGTCTGTTTATCCAGACACTTTGGAATCAAATCAATTTGTTGTCCACATGGAGCTTCTGTCTAATAGAATAATAGAAGAAATTAACCCTAAAAGCAAATGGAATATAAAAAAAGCCAACTGACCATTACATACAGCCTCCATTGACGTTTTTTTTTTGAAATAATTGTTATGAAATCGAAAGTATTTCTGAAAAATATAAATTCTTAATTAACAGTATAAACAATCCCACAATATAAACCGTTCGCATGCAAACTTCGTAACCTTCCATCATGGAGGAATCCAAAAGGCAAATTTTGGTAATTCATACCTATAATAAATATATTATTGTTACGCTGGTTTTCGGTATCACAATTTATTTCAACTAAACTTTACAATAACTATAATTCAACTTTGACAATAACTACAACTGATAACATTCACGTATAACGTCTATCATTAAACTAAAACTCTGACGTCAGGTCGTCGACTTATATAGCTTTCTTGACCTTCTCGAACCTTCTCGACCTGTCATCTAGAATGTTCTTGAGATGTAATGACATTTCTGGAATATTCTTTTACTTGTACTTTTACTTATGACGACCGCAGCACCCTGTAGAGCGATGAGTAACATTCCACTTCTTTTTCTATCTGTACGTTTCCTATGATAGCCGCAGGCTACTGCAGAGTGCTGCGTAACATTATCAATGTGTCAAACGGTCAAAATTTTGAATCATATAGACAACTGTAAACAGGTCATCAATCTGGTTCATAATACAAAACCTAATACCTATATAACTATACGAAAAGGTGATCTGTATATTTATTTCCTTCCTCATCTAAACGAAGACGCATTAAAGGGTATTTATGGCAGATAGGTTTTTTAGACTCCAGTCTGCCACTATTATGACTGTATTATCTAACAAAAGTTAATGCATAGATGTCTTATATTACCACACATTCACAGTACGGAAAAATATGAAACTCCATACAAATAGTAGCATTTCAAAGCCATTACTCTTGATTTAAAATAATAAAGAAGTAATTCTAAATTTAAAAATTTTACATTTCATTTCTTTTTTTTTAGGAAAACATGGGCAAAAGCCAGAATCTTCAACTGACATTCAGAAATCCTCCAGACAATTATTTTTTCATGTCATGGAATTGGCCGATAATAAGAAAAATATCAGGATGGGCATTTATATCAGGAATTTTAGCCATGATAGCGCTGATTATAGCTATGATAGTAACAATGCCAAAAACCTGCAATCCACCGACATTCTGGTATCAAGGAAACTTGCTCTATGAAATATTCCCAGCCAGTTTCTACAGCGCGAAAAGAAATATGGAAGGAGATTTAATTGGAATAGCTCTGAAAGCTGATTACATACAAAAATTAGGAGTCAGAGGTGTTCGGCTAAATTCGATTTTTGACAATCCTAATTATCCATATGATTTCGACAACGTTACAAGTCTCACTACTATTGCACCAATTCTTGGCTCTCTCAGCGATTTCAACATGATGGTGAGACAGTTAAAAGCTCGAAACATTTCGGTAATACTCGATTTACCGCTGTATCCTTACGTCAAAAGATTGGTACATAAAAAAGTAAATGCAAGAAACGAAACAACTTCTGGATCCACTGTTGAGTTTTTAAGGAGTGAGCGTAGTCAAGAACTTGATATTATTGAAGAAGCCATCCTGCATTGGATATCTAACGATGTAGAAGGTTTTTATTTAAAAGGACTGGAGATGTTACAGGATGATCCAAATTTGGTAGAATCGTTGCAAAGATGGAAAAAAATTCTCGGAGAGAATAGAATGTTATTAGTAAGCGAGAAATTTATTTCTACAACTAAGCCTCAGAATTTGAACTTCGTGTTAAACAACGTTGATTTGGTGGATATTAAAATAGATATTAGTGATGGTGTTAATTCTGTCAGTAAACAAATCAGATCGTTACAAAATAGCACCTTTTTCTCAAAACCGGGCATGCCTTGGATCCAATGGTCTCTTGGAAATGTATATTCGAAACGTCTAGCAAATATAGTACCTTACGGAAATGGAACATTAGGAGCTGCATTACTGCAACTGATGCTACCTGGAACTCCATCGATCTTCTACGGCGATGAAATCGGTCTTAAAGATATTTCAGATTCGAAAGGAGAACAAGACGATATTAAACATTTACATCAACTGACGATGATGCCTTGGGAAAATGAAAATATCAACATACTACCTTGGATACACGGAGATTTTAAAGTTACTGGAAAATACGATCAAGTAGATCTAATCAGTAAAATGATGGCTTTAAGAGTAATATCTCCATCGATCTATATGAATTCGGTTTACAAGGAAGGAGTAAATAAAGCTAACATTGAGGTTAAATATGCCGAAAATAATTTGTTGGTCGTGCAAAGATGGTATCCGAGAAGGAAAGCTTACGTGCTGGCTTCCAATTTGGGTAGTCAACAGTTAAATAAGGATTTGTCCACTCTTCTTTACAGCGGGGAAATTGTTGTAGGTCCCCAGCCCGATTCGGTGTTAGGTACCCTTTTATTTAAGGATGTTTCGCTGTGGCCAGGAGAATCTGTTATTCTTGTACTAGTCTAAATTTAATTTTTAAGATCGTGTAATTTTTTTTAGTTGTTTTTTAGATTTTATGATTATATAAAATGCGTTAACTGTAATATAACTTTTGAAAAATCAAACAATAATTATTTGGAAATAGTGTAGGCAATTAAGGTTTATCTTACCCAACCAAAATAGCAGCACCGACTGGATAATGTTTTAGGTGCCAAATTTAAAAAGATTCATTTAATTAAAACGTTATTAGGCATTACAAACAAATGAATTGCCAGTGTGAAGGTTTGGTATATCTAAGGGTTGCGACATACGATGTAATCTATCTACAAACGTAAAATTATGAATAAAGGATTACATTTAAACATTTTAGGTCGAACACAATGAAAATATTATTTAAAAAATCTGATGTGTCCAACACATGACTTTCCTATCTAGTTATTACGGGCTTTTTTCGGTTATTTTGTACAACCTATTGTAGCACCTCTGTAAATATTTAGAGGTTAACTTAATATATACATTTTCCACATACATCTAACTCAAAAATTCTGAAAAATTTAAATTTTATAATTTTCCTCCAATTTTTCCAGTATGGTCCATTTTAGAGAAATCATGTAAAAAAACAAGAATTATAGAGATCGATATGGCAAACATCTTTTAATTCAACAATTTTCTTAAAAATCATAATTTTTTACATTTTGCAAAAATTTCTCGAATACGGACCATTTTAGGAAAATTTTGCATAAAACAAAAATTATAGAAAATAATATTAGACATAACTTTTATTTAAAAAATTTTCTTCTCCAAACGTAAATAACAGATATATTCCATAAAATATAAAAACGGCATCCCATAAAGTACCCCGCAGGTATTCCGCCTTCGTCCAAAATCTAATTAATTCACCTCAGGCTGAAATAAAACTTAAGTTTAAAATTTAATGTTTTTTCCTTTATCCGTTTTTGAATTTCTTCAAAATTCGAAATTTACACATTTTCTCAAATATCTCGAATACGGTCCATTTTAGAGAAATTATGTATAGAATAAAAATTATAGAGAATTATATTAAGAACAACTTTTATTTGAACAATTTGTATAAAAAATTATTTTTTTTACATTTTGTCAAATTTCTCGAATACGGAGCATCCTCCTAAGTAGATACGCACCTTCCAACTCGTAAGCCAACCTACAGATTTAATGTAGTTGATAACGTTGTACTTCTCTTATATCGGCCGGTGATAGCTGTTAGCCAAATATCCCCGAACACAAATCTAATAAACGAGAGCATCGGGCAATCGTAGAGGATATGCTCGATGGTCTCATCTTGTTTGTACTATCACTACTGCTTACAGCCCATTTTATGTTTAGGTTTAAGGATCTTGGAGTATATTCCACATCTTGAGCCTTGTTTTGTTTTAGAACCATCGGTGTAGATATGATTCATACCTGCCACTTCCGGCTCTTCTATTTTTCTGTTATAACTTAATATGGCTTATGGAAGATATATCTCGATGAGATAGAGTCCATGTTAGCCTGAAGCAGTGGAAGCATATCGAGCAATTTTGCACTTTCTTGTTTCATCCCATCTTTCCTTGAATTTTGCAAGGGAATGTTCTAATTAGGTCTGTCACTACCGATTTTCTCAGGCCAATAGATGGGCCAGGTCCAAAAAGTATTTGGTTGGATGCTTTCTTGACTATTGCATCAGCAAGACGGTTACCTTTCGATGTGGCGTGACCTATGATTCATCTTAAGGTGACCACATTGTTGATGGATACTTCAGCCAAAGCTTCGTGACATTCTAGTACTAACCTTCAGAGCCGACTAGAGGGGGGGCAACCGGGACTAATTCCCGGGGCCCGGGCTCAAATGGGGGCCCAGCAGCGGTATAAGGGGGTCCGGCGGTGGTGTTTGTTACTTTCAGAAGTTCGACACAAAAGTGAGGAAGTTCTTGCTTGAAGACTTTTTTTTTAGAGAAATTCAAGTAGAGGAGGAGAAAATTTTGCTTAAAATTGTCGCGGGGCCCGGTATGGAGAATTGTCCTGGGGCCCGGTCTGGCTTTCGGCGGCCCTGCTAACCCTGAGTAAATTCGTCGTCTCTTCAGGGTGAGTAGTGCTTGTCTGCTATCTGTATAGATGAGCATGTTTCTTCCAGTGATATTGTTTCTGGTTATTTCTTTTGCTGTTATGACAATTCCTGTTAGCTCTGTTTGAACTACACTGCCTTTATTGCTCACAGCCCATTTTATGTTTAGGTTTAAGAATCTGGAGTATATTCCACTTCCTGCGCCTTGTTTTGTGTTAGAACCGTCGGAGTTCCTTACAGCTCTTCTATTTGTTCTATTATAACTTTATATAGCTTATAAAATATATATTTCGGTGAGACAGAGTCCATGTTCGCTTGAAGCAGTGGGAGCTAATTGAGCGCCTCCTGCTAAAAGCATCACCAAATCCTACATCAGGTTCTATTCCAACTGGGGGGAGGTTTGTCTTTGCCATCAGAGCAACCTACTTAATGTAAATATCAAGGGGAGTGAGACTAAGAATGACTTCCATGACTCTGCTTGGTGTGGTTCTCATGGCTCTTGTTATATGCTCTTCTTTGAAGTTATTCTAGTTTGCGGATAGCTGTTAATTTTTGAGGTTTCGGTAACCAGACAACTGCACCGTATGTGGTGACTCTGGGCGAGAAACCCCAGGTGCGCTCCACGGTTCGGCGGCATTATTCATAAGCAATGTATGCTCTTTTGACTCTATTTTCTAAGTATGGGTTCTATGTTAAATTGCTGTCAAAGGTGAGACCTGGGTACTTCACCTCTATTGCAAAATTTAGTTTTCTGTTTAGGAACTCTGGAGGTTTTAATTCTATTTTCATCCTTTTTCCTTGTAAAAAGGACAATTTCTGTCTTCTTGGGATTGATAGATAGGGAATTGTCCTTGAACCACTGTTCTATAATTTTGAGAGTTACTTTTGAACCGGGTACGTAGACATTTATAATGTATAACGAAAAAAAACTATTGGTATCTGTCACAACTACTACATCTTAATTCCACTTGTCTGGCTAATAATTCGAAAAAGATTTGGAAAGAGTTGAACAATCTAAACGTTCATAGCATTCCTTTCAATTAAAAAAATCCTGATCAAATTAATTCTTACTTTGCCAAATTTTTTCGTAATGTGACTAATAACTGCGATAAAAAGATTGAATATTATCATAGTTGCCTATTTAACTTTTCTTTTTCATTGGTCACTATTAATGAAGCAAATAAAATATTAAATGAGATAAAAAGTAACGCCTGTGATGCTGATAATATTACATCTAATATGCTCAAATTGTGTAGTCCTTTCATCGATAAATATTTAACAAATATTATTAATAGCTGTATTGAGGTATCTTATTTTCCAAACGACTGGAAAATTGCAATTGGAAAACTATTGCCTAAAAGATCCTCAAAGTTTTTTTGATCTTAGGATAAATAATCAGTATATTACCATCACTTTCTAAAATTTTTGAGCGCATTATCTCCAACCAAATGTGTTCTTATTTTACCTCCAATAATTTAATTTTCGATAAACAAAGTGGCTTTAGGTGTGATTTCTCTACTGGAACAGCATTATCAGTTGTAACTGATGATATATTAACATATTTCTAGATAAAGCTCTTAACTCGGCTTTAGTTTTATTAGATTTTTCTTAAGCTTTCGATACTATTAATCATGAATTAATTTGTGCTAAACTGAAATATTTTGGTTTCTCTAATAAATCTTTGTGCCTCATTTGGTCTTATTTACTGGGTAGGTCACAAAAAAATAAATGTTGAAGGAAAACCTCTACTAAAATTGACATTTTATCTGGAGTTCCACAAGGGTCAATATTAGGACCTTTTTTATTCATTATTTATACGATTGATATCATTAAGTCAATTGACAAATGCAGTGTTCAAACTTATGCTGACGACACACAAGTGTATTTACAATTCAGTCACTTTAATGTTAATAATGCAGCTCAAATATTTAATTCTCGACTTCAAACTATTCAGGAATTATCAGTCGAGCATGATTTGAAATTAAATTCTGACAAATCTAAACTATTATGTTTTGGTAGTAACAAGGAATTTCTCAAAGTAAATTTTAAAATCCGTATATCTAATGAACTATTAGAAATAGTAGATAATAACAGTGACAGTCCCGATTTAAATCCTATTGACCTTCGTGACAAAAAAACAAGGGTAATAAGCCGTCGACAAGAACCTTCGTGAAAGAGAATATTCTAACTCAAGAATTTTTCTAAAAAGTAGGAAAAAAGGAAAAATAAAATACACCGATAAATTATGTTTCTTACTTTATTTTAAAAATGATGGCAGCACCATACACTTGAAGCTTTTTTTTGTAATTTGGAATCGGGAAAATAAATAAACAAAAAATATTGAACAATATTAAAATATCATTATTCAGAATAATATAAATTTGAGCAAGTGTATACAATATTGCTAAGTATTGATACTTTCGTGCAAAATACAATATTTACTAAACTTTATGTACATAACAGGGGCAGTCAAGTTCCCGACATTGTGGCTAAGTGAAATAACGGCTCAACCCTTACAAAGCGGTCCAAAAATAATTTTTTCGGGTATCTTTACCAATAAAACAATTATTTTTGTGATTTACTGTTCCTTTATCTTCAATCATACATTTACATTAAATATTCAGTCGGTAATATCTCTCAAAGCTTTTTTCACATCACATTATTTTTGTAAACAAGGTTTTAGGAAAAATAAAGAATTTATTTTATAAATATCTAAACCTACGTACAAAAATTCCAACCATAAATTAATAAAGATAAAAATAAAATCATTATTTCAACCACATAAAGGACAGTAATGAATATTTCATTTTATTGGTAGAGCGACCAAATTGGACCACTTCGTATGGAATAGCCTTAAAAATAATGTAAATAAGCCATAACATCGGGTCCTCCCCTAAAAATATTGCAATGATGGCACCCTGAGTAAAACAAAATGATTTCTAGTCTACTCTTAGCCCAGCCAATGGGTTTCTTCCCGCACAAAAAACAGACAGTACCAGTTTTGGCAGCATCATACTCGATCGATAGAGATCCTTAATCAAAACACTCTTGATATGTTCCAAGCGTTGCAGATCCCTAAAAGTGAATCTCGATTTGAACAAGAATCTCTATGTACACGTTATAAAACTAAAATGAGAACTAAGGAGGTAAGATTTGTATAGAAATTCTTGTATGTCTCTGTTCACTGAACTATCTACCACTGGAATGTCCTAAATATTAGCACTTCCTCACGAATGAGACTGCATAGTCTTGTGTTTGACACGTACATCCGTTAAGACGTAATTATTCGGGGTAGCCCTAGGAATCTCCGGCAACTTATCCCCGGGATTCCTATGATGGACAGAGGGCGTTTTTCTCGTTTGCTGCTTCGTTTTAGAACTGTGTATCCCAGAAACTGGATATTTTGATCGAGCAGACGAAGTCAACGATTGCCGCGAAATTAATTCACCCGGGTGCTTCGGTATAACGAAAGCTTTCGTTTGCTTTATAAGCGATCTGTCATTGCACAACGCTGATATCAGCGGCAAGTCCATTTTCTTGCTCTTCTCTCTAAGAGTGCGGATATCCAAAGCCGACGCTTTGTCCGGACTTGTCCCGTTCATTGATTTGTGCACGCTTTTCCTTACGTCGATCTGAGCACCATTCTGGACTTCCAGTACGGTCGGCGGTTTTTCGGGAATGGCAGGTGGCGGAGGCGGGGGCAATCTTCTGAATTTCGGTGGATGCCTAACGTCTAGAGAATTTAAAATATTATCGTCCGATCTCGTTCTGATGAACTTTCCAGGTCGATTTGGAGGTAAAGGCGGTGGTGGGGGATCCAAACTTCCCGTCGAAGATATACTCGGTGCACCGTAAACAGGTAACTGAACGTAAGTATCTGAAAGGTTCTGACTCGATGCGTACCGACTCAAATATGGTGTACTTCTATAAAATATTGGCTGTTGAGCCAAAGCTGCTAGCAAAGAACCTTGCTTGGCTTCCAGGTATTCTTGCTTGCTGATCGCGGGTTCTTTTAGGGGAAACACTACAAAATCAACATCGCTATACATCTGTTGCTGGTACTGTTCTATTTGCGATCTTGATAACTGACTGGTATATACAGTTGTTAAAGCTGTAGGAGGAGGTGGTGGAGGCTGCCTTGGAGCTGGCGGAGGAGGTGGTGGCAAAAAAGTACAAGGAACCAAAACACTTGCTTTACTCGCAGCCACGTCCAAATAATTATTAGGCGAAACCACAGCACTCTTCATTGTTGGAGGCGCTCTTGGTATTTTAGGTGGTATTGGAGGCACCGAACTTGGAGTTGAATAACTAGGAGAAGAGCTTACACTTACAGCACTCGCATGAGCCGTTAAGACACTTGGTGATCTAGTGGTAATGAACCTAGCACCAGCTTCTTCAAACGGATATACTGGTGGTGGAACTGGTGTTGTATTCTCAGGATATGGCGGAGGACTTCTTAACATACGCTCAGACACACTAGCACAGTCGTCAAATTCCAGACAAGAATTTTCTGTTACCGGTAGCTTAGGTAACTGAGCTCCATATGGCGGAGGTGGTGGCCTAAATCTTTGTTCAACGCTGTCAATTCTTTTGGGCGGAACTGGAGCGTATCCTTGGTAGGATGAAGGTAAAGTAACATAATCTGAATCTGAATCCAATGTATGGCTAACGCTTTTACAAGATGGGTACCGCCCGACTATTAAATCAGACAGTTCTTCAGCAGAAAGTAAAGCTTGTTTAGTATCGGTAGGATCACTACCATCTCCATGGAAAGAACCAGAATTACTAACATTGGAGTTTGTTCTGTCTCTAAAATGGCCGTCCACATGATCTTCTGGTGTGGAAAATTGTTCGCTAGGTGTACTATACTGCTCGCTAGGTGCTGTGTAATGATCGCTGGATGTATATTGTTCGCTAGATGTTAAAGTATACACTCCACTCGTATGACTGCTAGGTGCTGGTCCAGAGGTATAAACGGCTTCAGTTGCATCCAATTCTATACAAGTTGCATCACTGACGGCCGAATTTTGAGCAGTATGAGAATATCCGAGTTCTAAGCTGCTTGTGGTGGAAGATCTTCGTCCTTTAGTTTCTAAAATAGAAAAATATTCCGTTAACAACATTTATTAATGGATAAATTTTTGGTTGTTAGAAATTAGTAGATACAATCATAACTTACTTGTTTGAACAGGCGTAACGACGACAGTACTGCATGAAGAACTGCATTGTGATCCAGCACATTTGCCGCTAGCGGTTTTCGTTGAGCTTTCGCTTAATGTCGGCTTCACTTCCTCTTCTTCTTCCTTGAGAGTTAGTGTAGCTAAAGCAGCAGTAGCTGACGCCGCAGATGTTCGGCTGCTAGCAGGCGCACTGTCCAGCAGGTGTGCTAGAGCCAAACTCTCTGTCGATGGTGCCGGCGGACTGGTGATCATAATTTCAAGTTCGTCTTCCGAATGAACTCGATCACTTACAATACCGGACGTTGTATTGGACGATGTGGAGCTGATGACCGATACGCGCTGGTCGCAATCCCACCGTTGCCTTTCTTCTTCCTCGCGTCTCGCTTCGCTAAGGCGCGGAGCCACAGCCATGCTAAATTGGTGTGCAGCTTTGCAGAGCGACAGAAGTAAACGGCTCTTCTCATCGCCGCTGGTGTATAACGTTAGCTTTTCATGACCGGTGCGAATCTCGAATTTCTTCCGTTCGAAGCTTAGTTTTCCTATACTACTCCAGAGGAATATGGATGGAGGATTGTTTTCGGGACATACTTTTAAGCCTCGCGGGCACACTGCTAGCAGCAGTGAGCCTGGAGCTGGTTCCGTTTTGGAAGCCCTTAACCTATAATGAAAAGATAACGTTGGTATTAATGTTTTCTATTTAGATAACTATTCATCAAAAAGCAGTAGATTACTGAGACCGCTTAATTATCTACTGCGCAGTGACTGGTTTGTGATCGTTGTTGGAACAGACCTTATGTGTCAGTTAACTCTTAATCTTATATGTCTTTCTGGGACCCCAGGATTACAGTTTTCGCTCTCTAGTTGAATAATAACTATTCTTATGCATGAAATGTCAAGTAGTTGAGTTTTTTGCTTTTCCATACAAAATCTAGTAACCGAACTTCAATAATCAACATCTATGAAAAGTACATTTACTCAGATAAGCAATTTTATCCGATTTTTTGATGATACAATGACAAGACAAGACAGAAGAGGAAGAAATAAGTTGGCTGCATTTAAAGACACATAAAAAGCTTTTGTAACGAATTGTAAACAGGCATTTATTCCTCATGAACACATGGATGAGCAGCTGGTAGCTTTTAGAGGAAACTGCCCACTCATAATAGTATATGAGCTCAAAGCCTGAAAGATACGGGGTTAAAGGTTTGGGCAGCCAAGTGGCACTTAAGGCCATATCGAGTCAAAAAGTTACGTCGAGGCTAGTATGGGAATGCATCGAAGAACTAAGAACACTGGCAGACCGAGCTAAAGATGAATAATGCTTCCATTTAAACCATTTTTTGTTTATGAAAATAAAACGGAAAAACAGTACTTAACGTAACAAAAGAGAACATATTTGTTTAAGGGTTAAATTTGATAAATTGAATACCATTTACCTAAATACATGAGCATTAACAGGTTCCTGCAACTGACAAGCATCTGCTATGAACCTCGCCCTAGCCTCGTTCTTGGACAAGCCCCGGTGGGTCCTGTGAGCCGCCTCGATGATCCGCAGAGCCGCTGGACCCCGCATATTCGGAGGTACGTAGTCTTCGGGTCGAAACGTCGTGCTTTCAGCGAAGTCGCCCATATCAGCCTGGAGAGAGAGTCCAGCCAAATGGGTGGCATGATCGCCGGCTGCTCCTGATGCAGCGTTGAGGCGCAGTTGAAGGTAGTAGTGGTGTCTCGTGGTTTCGTCGCGCAGCAGAAGGGGGCTGTCGACGTAGAATTGGACTCGAAAGTAGAACGCCAAGGCTGGACGCCCGTTGGCGTCGAGGCCGTGGCTGTGAGAGGAGCGCCAACTTTTTGGAGCATATTTGGAAAGTTTGCTATCTGGTTCTGCGAAGAGGTATTCTCCATCTGTAAAAGTAAAAAAAGGGTTTTAAAAAACGTACAAAACATTGACGATCTCATTATTTTTTATTCCTTGGTAAAAAAAACCTTTCTTTCTCCTTAAAAAAGCTGTCAGAACATATATAAACAAAGTCTATGATGGGTGGTAAATGTATCAAGTCAGTATTCACTGAAGCCACTTGAAAATTCAATACCTTTAACCAACAAATATTTTGTCGAAAATATCTAGAAATGCAGCTTTTAAAGAGCAATTTATTTTTTATGATTAATAATTTATGTTATATGAGACAGGTATATTAACGTGAATATAAACGTAAGCAATAACTAATTATTATCTTTTTATTACCTACTAATTAAAAATATTTAAAATTCATGACGATCGTTATTTTTTAAAAAACTGTTTTTTTTTTAATTCAAATACAAAACATTCTCGAATTAAAAACGTAACTATTTAGTTCAAAAATTCTTACTCCATCAGGTAAAAGTATTAAAATCATTCGAATTTTTAAATAGCCCGGAGGGTCCACATTCCTGTGGATTTTATCCCCACACCTGTGTAAAATTTAAATTAAAAAATACATTAAAATTCCATTTCCCGCAATTTTGGCTCCAAGCTGGCAGACTCCGGTAAGCGTGGATCCACTAAATGCGTCTCCTGCCTCTCCGATGGCGACTTGATTCTTAGGAGCGTACCATCGATGCGACGATGCCGGCTCTCCGAGAATTTCTTGGAGATTAATACTTTTATAGTGTGCGTTTTTAAATAGATTTTTGGATTTATTTCGAGAATTATCTCCGTGAATGGGGGACCTAAACGCTGCCTCTACACTCACATTATTCAAAATCGCTCTCAGGGACTCAAAGATGTTCAATTTTGGAGATTATTGTAAAAATGTACAGCAAAACTCGTATATTCTTCTCTGAAAGAATGACATATTGCTGCTCCCAAAAATGACCGCTGGAAAGCAGTTGTATCGTTCTTCCAGTATTAAGAATTCTCGAGTATAATGAAATATCTTTATTAAAGTATATACAAACAAATATAAAAGTTTTAAATTATAAAATACAAAAATACAAAAAATATACAGAAATATACATATCGATATAATCAAATAACATTTACACTTACATCATCAATCATGAACAAGTTTCATCATTTTATTTTTAAAAACTGTTACTGATGATCTAGCTTTAATACAAAACAGCAATTTGTTTTAATAGTCAAAGCATCTGAAAAATAAAGAATTCATTGATGTTTGGTTATTTGTTCTATATGAAAGTTATACTGTTATTTCTGGTAGAGTAGTTGCGAATACTATTGTTAAAATTAATGTATTCTCAAAAATGTCAAACCATTTAATATTTTATTTCAATACAAGGTAATCATTAATGTTTATTCCTGAGAAGATTGTAAATTTTTAAAATTTTGACCAAGTTTAAAGACAAATATTTTGTGATTTTTTTAAATTAATGTTATAATATTTTTCGTTTAGGCAATATTATACAAGGCAAAACCAAAATGTTGTTGTTTTGTAGCAACTTCAAAACACCTTGTAGCAAAATTGCGGCTGATAATTTTTTTATATATTGTTTGTTGTAATCTTAGATGTATTCCAAACATTTTGTTTTTTGATTCGTCACATTATCTCATTTCTTCTGTGAGCCTTGCTGCCTAGTAAATGTTCCTGTAAATACTTGTTCCACGAATCTCGAACTGAAGACCACGGAATTCTCAGAGTACGGGCGACATAACTATTAATACGGCCATCCTCTGTTAGAGCAATAATTCAACGCAATTTTGTTGTAGTTAATACCATTATAACAAATTCTAATACGGAACTGTCAGTGTCAAACATTTTGTCGCAATAATCACGTACAGCCAACTTCGATAACTTTTAACCAATAGCTTGACATCTCACAGAAAAAATGAGATAATGGGATGAATCAATAAACCAAATGTATGAAATACATCTGATTTTATAGCAAACACTATGTAAACAAAATTATCCGCCTCAATTTTGCTACAAGGTGTTTTAAAGTTGCGGAAAAAAAAACAATATTGCCTAAACGAAAAATGTTACTTATTACAATAATTAAAGAAAATTACAATAATTTTATCTACAAACTGGTAGAAAATTCATAAAAATAGGTAAAAATTTTAGGGTGGCGGAATTTTGTGCGTATTAAATATACCATAAACTTTAAAGTTATGGTTCCACTATCTTAATTAACAAGTAATTTTTTATTATAATATATAATTTGCTTGCTAGTTCAATTTCTTTATTTTTTTATTCTTTCTAGGCTTGATGATGGCCCTGCGTGGTCGAAACCAGTAACACTACATAACTTTATCAATAAATTTACTGTAAACAAGACTGAATATTTTTTGGTTGTATCTAATATATCTTATCTTTGAAGTATTGAAGCAAAGTAGTGAACATGCAGGGAAATTAATTGAAATATTCTATTGTCAAAGCAAGTTTAATTACTTCTTAGCCCCCAATACGTTTAATACTGCTATCAACTATACTTTCTAGAAAGCATTGCACCGGAACCCATATATCACACATTATTTTAAAAGTGTTTCAGTAATTTTTCAAATGTTTCAACCATTTCAAGTTTCTGAAATATTTCTAAAATATTTTATTTAAATATTTCACTGAAACTTGGTATACATTTTACACAAAAGGTTTAGTAAACGGGTTAACATGTAAAAGGCCAATATTTAATGAAGAATTTCTAATTTGTAAGAAGAAGAGGAAGGCTTAGATCTTATTTCATACTCTATGCTAAAAAATTTACCTCGTTCAGGCTACTTGTTTCTTCTGAGTATCTTTAATAAATGTCTTTTAACAGGCTGAATTCCTCAACAATGGAATCAATCCTTAATTCTGCCTATAATTAAGCCAAATAAGGACAAAAAGGTATCTTCAAATTATAGGCCTATTTCCCTTTCCTCTTGCGTAGGCAAAGTATTAGAATCCTTAATCAAAAATCGACTTGAATGGCATTTGGAAAATAACCAAATTCTTAATCCCTTACAATTGGGCTTCAGAAGAGGCAGGGGTTGTACATATTGTCTTGTATATCTTACCTCACAAGTGCAAATAGGTTTCTCCCTTAATGAATTTACTATTGGTCTCTTCATTGACATATGTCCTCGGTTATATTCCATTTTACTAGATGCGAATGTCTCAGTGGATTTGGCCAATTTAATACATTTCTTTTTAGTCCAACGCGAACTATTTACTCGAAATAATTTGGGCCACATACATGGTCCTCAAACTACTAATCATTGCCTTCCTCAAGGTTCACCGCTCAGTCCCATTTTGTTTAATCTTTATATCTTGTCTATATTTGATATTCTGCCTAATAATTTTAAATTAATTCAATATGCTGATGATCTGGTAATACTAGTTAGTGGATCGAATGTTTACAATATGATTCCACGTATCAACTCCTTTCTGCTTAAATTGGAGTTCTGGTTGGAAAAACGTAACCTTAATCTTTCATTGCATAAAACTTCGGCAATTTTATTTACTAAAGGGGTAACTAAAATTACTTAACCTAATACCATCTATAAATCTCAAATCATTCAATGGAAGGGTAAAGTTAAATATCTGGGGATAAGCATTCATAAGAATCTTAAATGGAATTCTCACTTTAATGATTTAAATGTTAAGATCAATCGTAACCTCAATGTTATGCGTGCTCTTTGTGAGACTTGGTGGGGATGTCTCATTCACTGAGACGGGTGACGCCATTTCATTTGTCAAATTTACAGGCAGTTTTAGTCTCATTTATATCTGAATATAACCCACATTTGATGTCCCTTCACAAAGTTTTATTTACTAGTTCTACAGCTCTGACTGAAAAAGGGAACTTCATGTTTTGTTTAGGAATGAGTATTATTTGTTTTATTATAGTTAATTTAAAACAATATTAATCAAATAATTTGTATCAAATTCTTTTTTCAGTACCAATAATTTGTTTCAGATTAGTGCATTTAAAGAAATTGGTAGAAATGAAGCAATTTAAAAATTATTTATTTGTTTGTTTAAGATTCAATGTTTCTGTTTTGTGTATTTTAAATGAACATGTATATTTTTAAATGTCTTATTTTAGTCTAATAATATTTTAGAAACGTTTCTACAACATTTCAGGCACATTTCTAAAATGGTTCTGGAACATTTCATAGTATTTATACATTAGTATATGTCCTCCATCATGTAGCATTGAAGACTATGAAATCTTTTTAGAGTGTGTCGCCTCCATTACATGTTTATACCGTCATAACTTTATCATGCTAGGTGATTTTAATGTTCCCGAATCTGTTAATTTTATAAATGAAACGCATAAATGTAAGTTAATTACTAATCTCTCCAACTTTTTTGACCTGGTACAGTTCAATAATCTCTTCAATTCAAAAAAAAACAGACTATTGGACTTAATATTTTCTAATACTAACTGTTCTGTCTCAAAAGCCATTGAAATTATTACTAAAGAAGACAACTATCACCCATCCTTAGCCATTGATCTCAGTTTTCATAACATATATAATCAATTTCCAATTAATTTTAAGTCATACACATAGCAACTTAATTTTAAAAAGAGTAAATATCCTGCTCTATATTCTAAACTACATTACACTGACTGGAACTTTATTAGTCAGCTTTGTGATTCCGAAATAGCTACAAATTATTTTGTAGATAAAATTACATTGATTCTTAAAAGGCACACTCCAAAAAAGATTACCCCTTCTCGTACATATCCACCCTGGTACAATGGCCAAATAATTCGAATGATTAAGGATAAGGAAAGGGCGTATAGAGTTTATAAAAGATGTGGTTGCTTCAATAGTCACCAACGTGTTAAAACTAGAAGATCTCAATTAAAACACAATATAAAAACTTCTCATCAACTTTACCTAAATAATATTGAAAATGAACTAAAGAATAACCCTAACAAATTTTGGTCATACGTAAACGGAAAGAAAGGTACATCAT